CTCCTCCTCGTCTGTTCAACATGTCCTCCTTGTCTGTTCAACATGTCCTCCTCGTCTGTTCAACATGTCCTCCTCGTCTGTTCAACATGTCCTCCTCCTCGTCTGTTCACCATGTCCTCCTCCTCGTCTGTTCACCATGTCCTCCTCCTCGTCTGTTCAACATGTCCTCCTCGTCTGTTCAACATGTCCTCCTTGTCTGTTCAACATGTCCTCCTCCTCGTCTGTTCAACATGTCCTCCTCGTCTGTTCAACATGTCCTCCTCGTCTGTTCAACATGTCCTCCTCCTCGTCTGTTCAACACATCCTCCTCGTCTGTTCAACATGTCCTCCTCCTCGTCTGTTCAACATGTCCTCCTCGTCTGTTCAACATGTCCTCCTCCTCGTCTGTTCAACATGTCCTCCTCGTCTGTTCAACATGTCCTCCTCCTCGTCTGTTCAACATGTCCTCCTCCTCGTCTGTTCAACATGTCCTCCTCGTCTGTTCAACATGTCCTCCTCCTCGTCTGTTCAACATGTCCTCCTCGTCTGTTCAACATGTCCTCCTCGTCTGTTCAACATGTCCTCCTCCTCGTCTGTTCAACATGTCCTCCTCCTCGTCTGTTCAACATGTCCTCCTCCTCGTCTGTTCAACATGTCCTTTGTGCTTAGGAAAGGATTTCTTAAGATAGATGTGTAGACATATGGAGAGAAAGGAGTTTAAATACTCACATGACTTTGTAGTTGTACTGGCTGTCGACGCCCCCGATGTCCCACATCACGATCTTGTTATCGTACGATCCCGCTGCGAGAGGAACAACAAGATGCATTCAAGAACACAAACAAAAAACTGAATTTCTACAATCACAATGTAAAGCAGTGGTTTCCAAACTGAAACAAGAGGAAAACAATAAATATGATGTGTGAATAAAGTGTATATTAAGTATATTAAGACGTGTTATTAATATAAAAAGTTACTAGTAGATATGAGTATTAAATTAATGAAGCGTGGGAGTGTAAAAGTGGCAGAAAATGGTCGTACTAAAATAAGTAAAACTAGTTAGAAATTATACTTTTACATTACTTGTTAGACCCTTTTATCCAAAGTAAATTGACTTTTTACACAAAGAACGTCCTAATTTTTCAAATATTAACAGGGTTATAAAGTAATGGGTGACTGTTCATTAATTAGTATATTGCAATTTAATGGACCGTCCCCCAAAACACACACACGCGAGTAAAACTGCTGCAGAGCAACTATTTCAAGTATACTACGTTATCGAGTGGCGCCGAAGGACTGTTTAAACGCCCAGCATTCTGCGCCACTCTATGGCGTAGTATACTTGAAACAGTTGCTCTGCAGCAAGTGTACTCGCGATTGAGAAACGGCCAGAGCTTCTTCTTCTTCTTCTTCTGTGGTATTAAAGGTGGTGTACTCACTGAACAGGAAGTTGCCCTGCCTGTGGTTGAAGCGCAGCACGGACAGAGACTTCCTGCTGGCTCTGAACTCCCCGAACGCCACGTTGTTTCTGGGATGGATGAGTTTCACCAGACCTCTCTTCCCCCCCGCTGCCAGCACGTTGCAGGGCTGAGCCGAGGAGGAGCGCCCCCCCCCACGGGTCATCAGCACCGTGGACCAGGCCAGAGAGAAGAACTCCTGGATCAAATAACAACAATCATTATAGTGAAGACCTGCTGCCTATTTTTTTTTACAGTAGCTCCTTTGCAAGTTATGGTATTCACAAGACTTTTTGGAAAATATATAAACGTAAGATGAAGATTGTACAATTAATCAAATATTAATCACGATTCAGTTAAATAACTAAGATGGCCGCATCGTTTTGCTTTCAAATTCAGCCTCATTTACTTTAAAATCAACTTGAATTTGGCCCATCATTCAGTAAATTGCAGCAAAAATAAAACTGCAATTTCATTTTTTTTTTTTTTAAATGGAGCAGCTCTACTCCTTAAAGATCTCCTATCATGCAAAATGCACTTTTTGATGTGTTTTATACATCAAGATGAGTGCTGCGTACCTGGACTCACATTCAGGTTCAGGTCCGAACTCAAGTCCAGAGGTTCAGGTTCAGGTCCGTACTTATAAGTCCTGACCTGAACCCATGGCTTGTGTCAAGTCGTGTGAGTAACTAAAGTGAACTTATTGTGAGCTAATTATCAATTGAAAATAAACTCATAATCAACTCAAATTCAAACTCGTCAGGTTTATTGTTCTCCCTTCCAACTTGTGTCTACATTTCTCTACAAAGTACAAATGTAAAAAAAACACTTTTTGCCACTTAGTCTACAAATGACTTATGACAGCAACTACAGTGAACTACTACAAAGTTCAAACATTTATTTCATTTAGCAAACTAAAGTAACCAAACAGTCCCTGAGCTGACTGAGCCTAAATCCCTAAAACTTTGCTGAAAGGTAGAGTGTAGAGTAGACTATACGCATT